GCTGTGTCCCAGAGATTGTGGTACGCTGTATCTTCGTTTTCACTAGTTTCTAATAACTTCTTGATTTCTGCCTTGATTTCATTATTTACACAAAAGTTACACAGGAGCAGGTTATTCAGTTTCCATGTAATTGTATGGTTTTGAGTGAATTGCAGCACTATTCATAATAGCAAAGATATGGAATCAATCTAAATGCCCATCAGTGATAGACCTGATAAAGAAAATATGGTACGTATACACCATGAAATACTTTGTAGCCATAAAAAAGAACAAGATCATGTCCTTTGTAGGGACATGACTGGAGCTGGAGGTCATTATCCTCAGCAAACTAACACAGGAACAGAGAACCAAATATTACATGTTCTTACTTATGTGTGGGGGCTAAATGATGAGAACACATGGACACATCAGGTGGAACAACACACACTGGGGCCTTTTGGAAGGTGGAGGGTGGTAGCAGGGAGAGAATCAGGAAAAATAATGGGTACTAGGCTTAGTACCTGGATGATGAAATAATCTGTACAGCAAACCCTCATGACCCAAGTTTATCAATGTAACACACCTGCATATGTACCCCTGAAACTCTACTCCAGCCAAGAACACAGGGCTCTCTCTCTCCACTGGGTCTCAGGTAGAGTGCTTACATCCTGAAAGGAGCAGGATTTTGGTATTTCTCATCCTTTCCTTAGCAGCTGTTGCTGAGGCTAAGTTCTAGGAGTGCAGTTTAAAATTAAACTTTTTCTCTCACAGATACAGACTCTACTTTGTGTGTGGCATGCTGAGACTACTGGGACCCTGATAGCCCTATTTCTGGCTCCTGAAGTGGTGGTTGCATGCCAGACAACCTGAGAGGACCTCAGGCTGACCCCCACCACCAAGCACTCAGCTCCTACAGCAGGAGTGTAAAACAGAGAGAAGCACTATTCTCCCTGCCTGCAGTTCCAAAGTCCTGTTTCAGAGATTTTGCCTGAGAGTTAGACCCATAAACCAGATTGTTCCTAAACTCTTCCCAAAGGAACTAACTTTATTTGCAAGAGAGTGTGAAAAAATTTAACCTACACATGATCTGAAGAACAGGAGAGATTGTGGTAAAAGGTAATGAGGAGATTTGTTAAACTAATGAAGATAAAACAAGACTGTAGGGTGGCTAGTTTGTAGGAGAAAAGGATGAATAAGATAGCCAAGAGGAGACCTCCTAGGCTCAAAACTAATATCAAATTCTGACAAAAAATATTTCAAAGTAGCTATTGTAAAAATGTTCACAGAGCCAGGGAAAAGCATGATTAAAGAAGTGAAAGGAGGTGTGATGACAATGGCACATCAAATTGAAAATATCAATAAAGAAATTATAAAAAATAACCAAACAATTTCTGGAGGTGAAAAATATAAGAATGAAAATTTGAAGAAGTGCTCAGAAGTAGATTTGAATTTGAGTTGGTAGAGGATAGAGTTTGTGAACTTGTATATAGATTAATAGAAATTATGCAGTCTGAAGAACAGAGAAAAAAGAAAAACGAATAGATTTTCAAAGAAATGTGGAACACTATGAGGTATGCCAATGTACAAGTAATGAGAATATCAGGAGAGGAGAAAGAAAGAGAAGAAAAAATATTCCAAAGAATAATAGCTGAAAGCTCTCTCAATGTATTGAAAAATAATAACCTGTGCAACCAGGAAGATCAACAATCTCCAAGTAAGATAAATGCAAAGAGATTCACAAACAGACCCATTACAGTAAAAAATGCTGAAAGTTAAACATGAGAGAAAATCTTGAAAGCAGCAAGATAAAACAAATGAATCAATTATAAGGGAGCCAATAATAAGATTATCAGCTGATTTGTCAGCAAAAACAATGGAGGCCAAAAGGCAATAAGAGAACATATTCAAAGTGCTCAAAAAAACCCCTGTCAACCAAGAATTTTATATTCAGCAAATGTATCTTTCAAAGTTCAAGATAAAAGAGACTTTCCAAAATAAACAAAAACACAGATAATTTGTTGCTAGCAAACCACCCTGTAAGAAATACTAAAAGAAGTTCTTCATGCTGAAAGTAAGTGACCTCAGACTGTAATTTAAATCCACACAAAGAGCAAAGGCTACTTGGATTAATGTGCCTAAAAATAGAAATTGCTCAAAGTATGATAGAGGTATGTTAAAGAACACACAAGCCAAACTGAAGGGACTTCCACTGGATAAATCAGGGATAAGTTGACCACCAAAATTTTAAAAAATTGATTAATTGATTATAAACTATTAAATAGTGAACCATGAACACACACTGATTAAATACATAACTTTATTGATTGATTGGAAGTGTGATGAGGAATGGGATTTTAACAGTTTTAAAGCATATTTCTACCAAACATTTATTAATTACATAAAGAAAAAGAGTAAACCCTGGTAGATAATACTTCATTTAAATAATAGATATGAACTCCATAATAGGGCAAACTGAAATTACAAGCCACCATACAGTGTGAAGAACTAAACATCTTTTTGTGGTATTCTGGAAAAAGAATCTTTACCTGGGCATGAGGAATCATGAGAAAACTTTGGACAAATCTGAATGGAGAAACATTTTACAAAAACCTGAATTAAGGAAGATTCTAGAAGGTAATATTCAAAAGTGTCAAGGCCACTATAGTGGATAAAATCTAAGATGATCAGTCTTTCCTCCCCCTTGCCTCCCTAACCCCCACAGTGATCCCTGCCCTTGGCTGTTCATGCCTTTGTATAATCTCCTATCCTTCGGTTTGGTCAGGATCTGTGACTTGCTTTTAACCAGTAATATATGGCATAGGTGATAAATGTCACTCCCATAATTACATTATGATTTTTATATATGTAAAATCATACAAAAAGTGATATATATATACACATATATATATGTGTGTGTGTGTGTGTGTGTGTGTGTATATATAACTCTAGCTTACTAACAGAGGTGCTAGAGAGACAACTCCTTACTGTCCTTGAAGAAATAAGCTCCTGAAGTAAGTGGCTATGTTGGCGAAGCCCACATGACGAGGAAATGTCGACAGGTTGTAAGAGCTGAGGGTGGTGTCTAGAAGGAAACTAAAACTTCAGTCTTGAAGCAGCAAAGAAATACCTGCTAACAAGCTGAGGGAGCATGGAAGCAGATCTTTTTTAAGTTAAGGCTCTGATGAGACCACAGCACTGGCTGACACAGGGACTTCAGCCTGGTAAGACATAAAACCCTGTCAAGCCTGATCCACAGAAATTTTAGATAATGAATGTGTGTTAAATTTTATCTTAAATAAATTTTAAGATAATACATTTAAGCTGCTAAATTTATGGTAATTTGTTATGAAGTATAGAAAATGAATGGAGTTAGAAAGTCAACGAAAGACTGAGAAGCTGTTCCAATTAAACAAAACTACAGTAATATGGCAACTAAATGCATTTAATTATTCTGAACTGGATCCTTGGGACAGATGGAAAAACTTGAATGGGGTCTGCGTATTAGATGGTAGCAGTATATTAATGTTATTTTCTTGATTTTGATGCTTGTTTTGCGATTATGTAGAGGAAAATGTGATAGGAAGTAACATAAAATTATTCAAGAATGAAAAATATGTAGTGAGAGTGTTGTTTTTTCCTATACTGTGCACAACATGATTGACCATTTTTCTGATTAATTAAAGAAATAATGTGGTATCCTGTAGACAGAGCTAATTAAGCATTGGTTCCTTTTGCCTTCCTTCTAATGGTTAGAGAAGGGGATAAGATAGCGGGAATTAATATTTGGTGATCAGTTACTATGTGCCACAAGTGTAATATCCATGTTACGTGACTTATCTAGTTCCATCCTCACAACACGTGCTAAAATAAATGTAACTATCCCTCCTTTGTAGATCAAGTAGATAAGACTCTCATCCTCAATTCTTCACTGCCTCCGTTTGCTGTGTGATTTTTCAATATTTCCCACAAGAGAAAGCAGAGGCTATTTCTTCACTGCAGTGATGTTGAGATTGGTCATGTAACTTACTTTGACTAAGTATATGTGGGAAGACATGATGTGAACCATAGGTTAAATGTTTGTGTGAATTAGCTTCTTTCATCCTGTGCTTCTGCTGTTCACCGTTTAAAGAATCTACCTGTATTGCTACTATTTTGAGGAGAATAATGAAAAATGTGGAGTAGACCTAAACTTAATTCAGAGACTGAAGCCAAGCCAAACCAACCCAATCCAAGCTGAGCCCAGAACTACAATCCGCCCAAAGACTTGGTGAATGAATAATATATGCTTATTGTCACAAGCCATTGAAATTTTGGAGTTGTTACACAACATTATTGCAGCAATAGCTGACTGATAAACTGGCTTAAAAATCATACTCTCAGTTAATTGGTCTGTTTCACTTTAAAACTTGTCCTCTTTATTACTTACTACACTACTATAACACAATTCAGTCTACAGTTATGAAAAAATATTAGTGTTAATTGAAATCTTTTCAGTGTCTTGATTAACTTATTTTTGCTTCCTACATTACATATTTATATATATAAATGTTTTTATATGTATATATATTTATTTGTGTATATATGTATTTATATATATGTTTATAAATATGTATTTTATATATGTATGTATTTTAAACCATCATCTTTTAATAGTGTCCTTGGGCATTTATCATAAAATCTAATAAACTTGACATATCCATACTGGTAACCTTAGGACTGAGCTATCTTGGTATAGGATATATTGCTTATGCTTTTTAAATGAGAAAGAGACAGTATTAGCACTCCAGGAGAATTATTTAGGATATTGCCAAAGAGTTACCCTCCAAATAATTAAATCCCTAGGTGGCTTATGGGGATTTGAAAATTTTTCAGGTTAAATTCATTTGGTATAAAAGAAGCCTCTGGTACCTCATGTTGTATCCTCTCAGCTTATTTCAGCCATGACTGTGGTGGACAGTTGATGCAAGTTTAGTCTTGGTCTGATAGTGTCTCACTTCAAGCATGCACTGTGTGTTTTTCAGCCTTCTGCCCCAGAGTCTTCTCCAAAGATACAGGAGCTTGCTGGACCCACTTGCAAGGGAAGCCTGGAAGTTGGGGAGTTAATGCCATCACGACACTCTCAACCAGTGAATCATGAGGTTAGTGGACAAATGCTCTAGCTTTCTGCCACTGGGTGGGCCATTCTGGAAGGCATTCTGCTTATTTCTCAAAGGTCCAGGTGTAATTTCTCAAAGGTCCAGCCACCTTTGCCCAGCAAACGCATTGATAACCTTTTATTGATAGCTTCTCCTTCCCTGCCCTGCTCTCTTTCCTCTTTTACTCCTGCCTCCCAGGTTCATCTCCCAAGTAAACTACCTGTACCCAAATACTTCTTAGGCAGGAACCCAAACTAAGACAGAGGCATTTCCTAGAAGTTTAGGAATAAATGCTTCCCTTTTAAACCCCTATCGTGGCAGGGGAGATTAGAAAGGCAAGCTTAGAGCGCATTGAGTATGCCCTCATGTTTTGTTACTTGTGTCACATTGCCAGATGGGCATTTGGCACCAGGAGTGCACCAGTGCCACACACTGATCTTGCAAAGGATCTGGACCACATTCCCAGTTATTGGCATGTGCTTACCTTGGTTTTTTATTGAGGAGACATGTTGCTGTGACACAGAACAGCAATGAGGAGGAATGACCTTTAGTGCTCAAAGCCTGACTCTATGACTCAACAGATACCTTTGAGCCTGTCGCTAAACCTCAGTTTTGACTTCTGGAAAGTGAGGAAAATAATACCAACCGCATTAATTTGTTGTGAAGATAAAATGAAAATCATGTAAATGTGAGGTTTTATAGATTGTAAAAGACCTTAGAAAATATTAGAGTCCCCACTGCATGTTCATTACGAGCATCAGGAGTAAAACTACTTGTGTCCAACTTACTAGTTATGTAACTTTGGGCAGATTGCTCTTTGTACCTATTTCCTCTTCCTTCAATGGAGGTAATAACAGTACCTACTTCAGAGGGTTCTTGAGAAGATAAAATGCATGGAAAGAATTTAAATGGTACCTGAAACATGGTTAATAAATATTAAGTATTATTATTAATAAATGTTAAGTATTATTAAATGTTGTGCGTAATTAAACAAGTTATTGAGTGCCTAAAGTAGGCAAAGTTCTGTGCAGGAAGCAATATTGTTGTGTTGTATTGTGTATTGTATTGTAAGCATCTGATGTTACTTACCTTGATAAATATAGCCCTGTATTCAAATATGTACAGTACCAAGCAGTCTATACAGAAAGCCAATGGAAGGCTAGAGTTGAGCAGAGCAGGCACTGAAGGATGGTTACTATTGTGACATATGGAGATGCAGACTGGGTGTTTTGGTCAGCAAGAGGTACAAAAGCAAAGGTACAGATATAGGAATGTCATGGGATTTAAGGCTAGAGAAGTGTGTTGGGTCCAGATTGTAGAGTTCAGAATTGCAGGCCTTGGAGTCTGGATTCTCTCTAGAGAGCAGGAGAGACCCACTGAAGGACTTTTGAGCAATGTGATGTGAACAGACCACCGCTTAAGAAAATCAACCTGACGGCGCCTTGTGTGAAAGAACAGCAGAGGGAAGGCCTAGACACCAAGAGATCAGTTGAAGGAAATGTGCAGTACTCTAGAGGTGAAGTGATAAGGGCCTGAACCAAACTAGGGCAGTGGTAGCAGAAAAGTCAAGACAGATGTGAGAGGCATATTGTTAAACAAGCCAAGAGGATGATAGGTTCTTTACTGGGTACTCAGAACAGAGCTTACCCACCTGGTTCACCTTAACACATAGCATAGTCAATGTACAAATAACCAGGGATTCATACACAGGTGCACAGCACATTCATACTTACGGTATACTTTTGTGGGGTTCACAAAAGGTAACCTCTCCACCATGAGGCTTGTGCTTTATCATGCTGAAGTCCTCTGAAAGGTGACACCGGAAACATTTAAAGAGGAGTTAACAATAGGTAGTAGCAAGTGTACACGTTTCTTGAGCAGTAACTATTCCTGGTGATGAATTATTCATGACGTTAGATTGACCCTGTAAACATTACTGCAGAGTCACTGGTGAGTGTTATTATTATCCTTATTTTACAATTAAGAACATAATGGTTCAAAATGAGAACGTTATATGCTCTCAAATCCTGCCCATCCTTTCATTCTTTTTGCAAATGTCATTTCCTTCCTGAGAAATTTGCAGAGTTGGAAGCAATCTGAACTCACTGAATGCTTATATTCTTTCATCACATATAGAGCTTGCACTAGAGTCATTTGTGTGTATGTGTTATTTCATGTATTAGATTGTAAGTTTCTTTAAGATAGAGGCTTTTGTATTCATTTTTGTATTCCCCATAGAATCGTAGTGCCTGACACATAGTAGGGTACTCAATAAATGTTTGTAGAATTGATTAAAGTGTGAACACTAAAACGCCCGAGTCTGCTATGGATATGTTTATTTGGATGTATAATTGGTAGTTTCCCTATGGATCCCTTCAAGAGTGTGTTGACACCTTAGCAGCTCTTTGAAGTTATGGTGCATTTAATTAAATGTGTTATCTTTTTAGAGTTCTTGTACCAAGAAAATAGATTGCATATTATAATGTATTCATTGTTCATTCCAAAAAAAGACCTATGCATCTGTTTAAGTATTCGGTTAACAAAGATACCAGAGATGAGAAATAACAGGTGTTCCAAGTAATTACCAATTCTAGTCAACCAAAAATTAGATATTTTAAAATCTTCTCTTTTCTGTTTCATATTCTTTTTTTTTCCTTTTGATCAGAAGTGATTCCTTCCTAGATAATTCCACATGGTTCTGTTTTTCCTATTGTCTTGACATTGTGTAAGAATTTGAAAAAGAATGTTGCAATCTGTTTCTCTGAACTGTGGTTTATCAAGAGGATCTGTTTTAAGCCAAAGAGAGTTTCCTTGTATGGGATCATGCCAGAAGGGTGTGTGCACCTTGCAGGCCTACGGAGGACTGCAGCCTCATGGAGTGATGCTGCTGTGGGGGCTGTAGGCTCCTGACCCTCTTAGAGGGTGGATACTCCATGACTTCTATCATATAGCCTTTAGCTGCCGGCATCTGCTAGGCTTTGGAATACCCAACTCTGATTTTCTGGGAGGCTTTTATGGTATTACGGCACTGTTTCTTAAATAGGGTTGATCATAAGACCCACTTTGGTTGCTTGTAAAAATGTTAAATCTCAGGCCTTACTCTAGAAAGAAACTCCAGGGGAAGGACCTAGAATGTCTGTTTTGTTTTTGTTTTTGTTTTTTTGTCAAGCGCCTCAGACAAGTCTTATGATCAGGCGAATTGAAACACTTTCATATACTGGCTTGAAATAACTGGCTGCAGTAACTTACACTTAACTGGCCATGTGAATATTTTCTTTTTCTTTCTTTCTTTTTTTTTTAGACCAGTCTCTCTTGTCACCCAGGCTGGAGTGCAGTGGTGCTCACTGCAACCTCTACTTTCTAGGCTCAAGCAATCCTCCCACCTCAGCCTCCCAAGTAAGCTGGAACTATAGGTGCATGACACCACACTTGGCTAATTTTTTATAGCAACAAGGTCTCACTATATTGCCCAGGCTGGTCTCAAGCCCCTGGGTTCAAGTGACCCCCCTGCTTTGGCTGCCAAAGTGTTAGGATTTCAGGTGTGAACCACCGTGCCCAGCCCCATGTGAAACCCCCACTCACATGGGGCTTTCCAGTCTGAATGAAGAGCAACTTACATCCGCTCTCTAATTTAGTTTCCTCAACTGCAAAATGGGGATAATTATAGTACCTACCTATTGTTAGGATTTTAAAGAGGATTAAAATAAGTGATAATGTATGTTAAATACTTAGCAAATCACCTGGGACAGAGTAAGTACTCAATAAATGTCAGCTATATAGTGAACTCTTCTCCCCTATTATTATATCAGCAAACTTGCCTTCTAGAGGATGTTTATGTACATCCCTAGTTCACTTTATTCAGCAGGAAATCTTTCCTGTCTAATCTGAAAAGATTATTTGAAGATCCCCTGGGAGGTCACAGTATTTTAGAATTGGAAAGGACTTAGATGCCTTATAATCCAGTACCCCAATTTTGTTTGCTCATTTTTGGTCTACTCCCTCTTCATTTTCAGCTAACTTCTGACTCATGTGTAGTTGAAGCTTATCCTTCAAGGACGGTCACCCTCCTACCAGCCACCTAGACTGGGAAACTGGATAACCTTCCAGACAAAGCCCTCTCATGCCCAGAAAAGGCCCTGCTGTGCTGTTCCTTTGATGGTTAGAAGGTTTGCCCATCCGGCAAACATAGCAGCTTTGCCTCCCTTGCCCAAAGAGAAGTTCTGTAAATGCTTGTCCTGAATTTTAAAAACCAACATGTTTTCCTCACTATTAGCCATCTAAGAGGTAGTCTTACTAAATTTTTGTTATGTTTGCCTAGTTCTCTGTCTACTTAGATAAACCTGAATCAGTGTTATCTTTATTAGACCGTGTATTCTTGAAAATCAAAGATTTCCATTTTTTCCACTGGAAAAATTCTAATTACATCATAAAGGCACAAAAACATAATGCTGATGCTGATGCTGATCATAAATACTCAGACTATTATAATGTCTTTGTCTCAGTAAAATTCTTTTGGTCCTGTGATTCCATCTCATTTTAAAGACAATTTAATGCACAATTAATCTTTGTCCCCTGCATTTCTCGAACCACTTCTTTGTGTGTGCTAATTTGTCAAGCAAAACTTTAACCAACACCTCTTGGAAATTTAGAATAGAGAATTTTGAGGCAGTCATTTGATTTTCTTGGCATTTACTTCCTTAAAGAAGTCAAAAAATTATCGAAGCATGACTTTTTCATTCCAGAGACTGCATTGGCTATCCTTAATCAAGCTGTGCTTTTCTCAGTGTTCCCCATTTAATCTCCTAAAATACTTCCTAAGACGTTGCCCCCTACAATGGAATCAAAACTAAATGGTCTGTAATTTCCTCAAGTGTTCCCAGATCCTGTTGTAAATAATGACATTGTGCTGGCCACTTTCCAGTCTGAATGAAGTGACCTTGTAAAAATGTCTGCTTACTCTTCTATAACGTCTTTTTCTACTTTCTGTAGGGCTCTTGGATAGAGCTTGGCAAACAATACCTATTCCAAGAAACACCATTCTTCACCTCAGTGATGTTATTTCCTTCATATAGGCAGTACTGTATCCAGAGCTAAAAGACTTTTGCTTAAAAGTTAATTAGTATTTTAAAATAAGGAATTATAGGTACGCTGTGGCAGAAGGCCAGCCTGTATGACCTATGAATATTTGAATTGACAGGAAGAAAATCTATTGTGGTTTGTAAACTCTTCAAGAAAATGTTGAACTTCCATTCAATCATTAGATAACTTTTATTGTAATCATGTTCAGTATCTTTTTTTGATTAAAAAAAACAAACAAAAAACATTTCCTGCGTTATAGCACAAAACATTTAAAATTAATTATTCCAAGCTGGCAGTTAGAAAAGGAGTATTTCACTCTCTTGGTAGAGACAGTTGTTCTTTCTGAGCAATTACATTGTATTCAAATGAGAAATATGTGATTTCTGGTTAAACCAATGCTTTCCCCCTCTTCCCCGCAAAGAGGATCAGGACATCTGGTATTGCCTAGGAAAAAGCAGCTAAACTCACTGAAGGGGCAGGGTACTTCTCACATGAAGACAGACTAAAAATACAAAAACCTATTAGTGTGAAATAACAAAAGCTGAAAGGGGAGAAATAACTAGAACCTCTGAATCCCAAGCTATGTGGGACCACCAGCTAGACAAGCTAATTAAAATTTGCAGCCCCCATTTTTTTTTTTATGGCCCACATGGGCATACGAGTTTTATAAATTAGATGCAAGTTACTGCAACTAAAAGAAGTTAAATAGATGGAGATATTGGTAGTGTTCAACCCAATGGCAGTGATTTTATTATTTTCTTTAAGAAAAACCAAAGGGTAATAAATTTATGGGAGCATTTTGGACTTGAGAAATCAAATCAAGATTTAAAAACATTCTTGGAAATTATAAAGCTAACAAATAGACCGGCAGAATTTTTTCTTCGTAAGATAAGAGCAAAATAACTATTTAAAAAATGGCTGTTTCTGATTTTCGGCAAAGTGATTACCTTTGCTTGTGCTTTCATAAATATAAATATTACATGCGTTTGTGGGGGCCAGTGTGTACTCTTTTACCTTCCCGTGGCATTGCTCATCTCTATCAAACACCTACAACACAGTGTGCTCCATTATAGGAGACAGGCAGCACGGTTCTATTTAATTAACTAATTGGATGACTCATCCTACACCTAAATTAGCATTATTAGGTCTTTTATAATGATTGTTGAAGCATTGTAAATTAATTTTCTTACTGGCTATAACCATTATTTGCTGCTATCACAATATTAAGAGATAATCCCATGCACAGTGGGAAATCTCTATGGGCGGAAAATCAATGTGGTCATCCTTGGATCACCAATTAGGAAACCTATTGTGTGGCAAAAACATCATTTCTATGCTGTAATATGATCAGATAACCATTAATTACATTCACTAGTAAGAATTACCTTCTTTGTTGGAGAAGTATTGCATTCCATATTATAGTTCAAAAATGTCAGGAGAAACCAGCAACAAAAACATCAATTTCTAAAAATGATACATGTAATCTAAATCATATTAACCTAACACGCTACATGTCAAGTTAAATTAGCATAAGCTTTGTTACAGAACCTGAATAATATAGCTTATCTCTTAGCCCTTAGATGTATTGATTAAATAGGTCATCCTCACCTGCCTACAAATACAAATATAATCAAACTGCACTGTTCTCTAGGGAACTGAATGGCAAAAAACCTCTAGTAAGTGTCCAATCCAGGCCTGTTTCTTTGTCTAATACAGAGATAACAGAATGAAGATAAGCAAGTCCCTGCAGCCTGGTGTGTTACTGTGTGTGTGTGTGCATGTGTGTGTTTGTGTCTATATGTATAAATATGCATACTTCCTATGGACAGAATCCAGGAGCTTTCTTGAGATTCTAAAGGGGATCTATGACAGACCCCTTGCCCCTCCAAAGTGCGCTGACTTAAAAGGTTTATGGAAGCAGCCACTGTGCCAGACTTCTGCATGATTTCACCATTCAGCAGCTATAAATGAATGCAAGTGCCAACCTGAGGTCTGTCTTGCTTAGCTTGGCCGTTATAGCCTCCCTGGGCAGAGGTATGGTGTGATGGTCAAGAGAGGGAGCCCTACATTAGACTCTAGGGCATGGTCCTAACTCCTACCCTTTATAAGCTGTGCCACCTTAGGCAAGTTACTCTAGCTTCTTTGTGGCTCAATTTTAAGACATTGCTCACCTCAAAAGTTTGTCATGACTATGTATATTCTCAGGGTGATCTAAACACCAGAAACCATAAAATGAAAGTTTAATAAATTTGACTACACAAAATTAAAATTGCTACAGGACTATAATGTTCATAGATAAAAATGATACAAAATGATATATTTATTTTAAAATAATTGAACAGGACAGCAGAAGAGAAGCGGTGTGGTGGGAGTGGGGGATGGGTATTAAATGAATTAAGTTTTTTATATATTTTGGTAACGCTGAGTAGGTATTTGGACCATAAGAATTTATTAAACTATTCTTTCTATTTTGTATATGTTTGAAATTTTCTGACGAAAACATTTAAAAGTAAAAATAAAGCATTTAAAAACCATAGACAATATCATAAGAATAATGACAAATTAAGAAAAAATATATTTGTAAGATATATAACACCTAAGGGACTAACTTCTCTAATATATAAAGAAGCCAACAAATCAATAGGAAAAAGAACAACAAAGTGACATTTTAAAAAGAGAAAATGGCTAGGCACAGTGGCCTATGTCTGTATTCCCAACACTTTGGCAGGCCAAGGCAGGAGGATCACTTGAGGCCAGGAGTTCAAGACAAGCTTGGGCCACATAGCAAGACCCCATATCTGAAAATAATAAAAATAATAAGTTAGCTGGGCATGGTGGCTCAAGTCTGTAGTCCTGGCTGCCTGGGAGGCTGAGGCTGGAAGATTGCTTGAACCCAGAAGGTTCAAGCTTCAGTGAGTCATGACTACACCACTACACTCCAGTCTGGATGACAGAGTGAAACCCTGTCTCTCAAAAAGTTCAAATTAAATTTAAATTTAAAAAATAAAAATAAAAACAAAAGAAGTGCAGTCGATTTACAGAAAAGAGGAAAACTACATCAAGTAATGCTTATTTTATTTTTATTATTTTAATAAGATTTAGATATTTCTTTTAATTTAAATACATATATTTGTTATAAATTTCTATTTATAGTTTTGTGAACTGAAATTTTATTGTATTTAAAATACATTAAGTAATGATCATTTTATTCATAACAGGAGAAATACAAATTAAAACAGTGAAAGCTGACTTTTGACTGATCAAATTGACAAAGATCAGAAAATTTGATAGTACATTGTAAGCGAGTATAACTTCTTTGGAGAGCAATTTTATAATATCTGTGAAAAGTTAAAAAGCACATTCCTTTTAACTCATAAATTCCATTTCTAGGAATTAACTTCATATATACTCACACATGAATTCAAAGCAAAACATATATGAATATTCAATACAGTTGGTTGTAACAGCAAAAGATCTGCAATATTCTAAATATCTGTCAGGAGGGAAGTGGTTAAATAGATTATAGCACATCTGTAGAATAGAATACTAAGAAGCAGTTTTAAAAATGAAGCAGCTCTACAATAGCAGTATGAGCTGATCTCTAATACATTGAAAATGAAAAAAGCAAGAAGTATAACAGTATATTAGTACATGGTCACTTGTGTAAAAACATATACATGTATATGTTTGCATATGCACAGAATATGATGTATCTCTAGAAGGATATACAAAAAGTATAGCAGTGGTTGCCTTAGGAAATGGGAAATGAGGTAGGGAAAGATATAGGCATGAGAGGGAGTCTTACCTTTCACTCCATATGCTTTCACTCCATAAAATTTTTTTTTTCACCATGGTTTTATATTAGCTATTTGTAAATTTATTTTTTACATTTAAGTACTTAGAATAGTGTTGGTATGTATCAAATACTCAATAAATGTTATCTACTCTTATTATTATTCCACTGTTACTCCAACCACCATTTCTGGCCCTATCTTTCACTACATCACTGCAAAACCTTTTTACAACCATTAAAGCGAGTAATAACCAGTCCCCAAATATTCCATATGGTTTGCTATTTCCATGCTTATATTCACGTGCTTATGTCTACTTGGAAGGCCATTTTTCCATCTTTACCTGTTGCAATTCTACTCATCCTTCAAGGTCCAATTCAAATAACACCTCCTTCTAAATTGTATATTACCCCTATAACCTTGAAATGTTTATGTAATTGTATAAGTCTCAGTTTTCTTATCTGTTAAATGAGATATAATAGAAACCATAAAGATTAAGTGTGATAAGGTGAGTAAACCTACTCATGCATTTATTCAACATCTATTTCTTGGCTGGGCATGGTGGCTCATGTCTGTATTCCCAGCACTTTGGGAAACTGAGGCAGGCAGATCGCTTGAGCCCAGGAGTTCAAGACCAACCTGGGCAGCATCATGAGATCTTGTCTCTACAAAAAGTACAAAATTTAGCCAGGCACTATTCAGGAGGCTGAGGTGGAAAGATCACTTGAGCCTGGGAGGTTGAGGCTGCAGTGAGCCTTGATCACACCACTGCACTCCAACCTGGGCAAGAGAGTGAGACCCTGTCTCAAAAGAAAACACACACACACCCATATATTTCTTGACCAACTATTTTATATAGGGATTACAGTATTCACTAGGGCAAGAACCATGGAAAAGTTGACAATATCTCTGCCCTCATGAAGCTCATAGTCTAGAAAGGAAATTTGAATACAGTTGATAAATGCTATGGCAGCTTTAAGCATAGGGTATGGAAGTACAGAGGAGGGGCATCTAACCAAAAAAAAAAAAAAAGCAAACCCACAGGGGAGAAATAGTTGGGTTGGAAAGAAGGTCAGAAACAAAATCAGATTTGTTTTGCTTCAGAACTTTGAGTGATCTTAAAGAAGTTACAAGCAGGAAGCAGCAGAGAATTTACAAAGACTAGTCTTGGTACCTCTCAGGGTCATTTGTCTCTGTGCTTCTGATAATCTAAGGAAATTCACAGAAAACAGCCAGTATCCACCTGCTCTTTGCC